CAATACCAGAGCTTCTGCCATCCAGATGCTTCCTGTTGGAAGTTGTTTCATAGTGTTAGTTATCGATCGCATTGTTGCAGACCTGGTTATTTTAGTTGAATTGGGCGTCTTTTTGATGAGTTCAAACTATACGCACATTGGGCGCATTTCAGAGATTGGAGCCGATTTGTGTGCGGATGGTGCTCACGGCCAAACTTATCGTGTGGCTGAGGAGAGCTGTATCGCAACGATATATTATAAAGGAAGTTAGCGACAGAGGGGCGTCAAATAGCATCACAGATAATATTGAGCAGTGCAGCGCGACTTCATCAATGGTACGATGCTTGAGTTGAATTGGCATACTTTGTTGTGCACCTTTTTTTGCGTTTTTTGCATTTATGCAATGCAGGAAACGCATATTGATAAGAGGTTGTCTGTGTGTTCGTCTGTACCAATTTTTTTCAAATTCTTTCTGGTTCTTCAGACGGACACATTTTTTTTGCTTGTTCTTGAAAATTAAATGCCACGCACATACTATTTTTTGCTTGTTCCAGTTCTTGGCGACAGTCACATCCGGGACACCGTCACGAATTGCCGCCACTATGTTATCCGCTGGCCCACGCATAAAACCGACCGGCACTGCCTTCCAGATATCTTTCGAGATTTAAGGACTCGAGACGAAAATGGACAACCGCGCTGTTTTGTGAAATGTATTTTTCCAATTATTTGTTAGTGTTAAGTCCATTGTCTCTTTTTTTTTTAATGTATGATCTTAAAATGTATAATGTTGTAAAAATATAACATGATTTCATGTATAGTCTTTCAAGCACAGGGCTTTTTTTCCTCGCACTTTGTGGTTGTAATACCTCACTGACCCATTCAAAGTCTTATTTTCATATGCCCCATTATATTTATATATAGTTATATTACAAAAAAAATGTCTATTGTCTCTGAACTAATGTGTTTTACTTTTTTTAGCGTTTATCCTGATTGTTTTCGATTCTTTATCTTCATCACTGACCTTTAAATTAATATTAATATGTTTTTTGTACTTTTTGTATTGTAAATAAAAGATAATTCGTTGACAGCATCTAGCCGTCGCACAACAACACCGGCAGCGATCGAACTGTATAACAGCAGCAGTTTGGCACTTCTGGCTCAATAGGAAAAACAGATTCCGGCGAACAACGGGTTCTGTCTCATCCACCTTCTGCTTTTATTTCCCAAACTTAAATTTGCTTATATACCAAGACCAGTGTAGTACTTCCTGTTAGTGTTACTGGGATGTTCCCGAGTTGTAGGAGCAGCAGTGTTGTCTCTTCGATTCATTTCTCACCCACCTGCTGCTTGCTTGGTGGGGATCTATGATTATGAAGAGATACATCATGCATGGGATTTCTCTACCTGGTTCGACACTTTGAGAACATGGACGATGCTGTGAAACATGCACCAACTGGCAAATTTGCTGATATATTTATCATCAATAAAAGCATAAGACCAAATGAACATTCTCAGGCATGCGTCGAGTCTCGAACGGGCATGCAGTGGGTCTACAGCCACCACAGCATATAGTTCACAGAACACTTTGAGGCCTCAAAAAAAATCACAAAGGCAGTCGAATCAAGCACCATTTCCCCTTTTACCAAACTGTTCGTCCATGAGCAACTGAGCTGCTTTACTGACTGAAAATATGCTTAAATTAGTATGGTACATAAACGTGTATTGTTTCAGTGTTGTTTAAGATGTGTGGACATTTGCACGCTGGTCAATCTTACAGACAGCGGCGACATGGTCATCAAGAAACGCCTCTAGCAACTCAGAGATGTAATTCGAATATCGCCAGTATTGCCAAAATGTTTGATTTTTTTTTTTTTTTTTTTCGTCACCTTAACGGCTACCACACATATGATGTGTTTGAAGCAGCTTAGCCAGCACTGAAGGCAATCCGCGAAAATAGCAGCAATGTGTAGTAGGATCGAACAGTGGCTTATGTGTTGTAGAATGATAATAATGCCTACCAGGAGTAGCTGCTGCAACTGCAACTGCACTCGTCATAGTCCTTTATTGAAGAAGACAAGTTGCTGCGCCGTAGGCACGGTGTGCATTTTGCGCCTCATTTCTTCATAAGCACTTGGCTCGTATCGTTTCAGTGTTCCCACCGTCACGTTGCTGCAAAAAGTGTTCAACAGTATGCGTGTCAGAAGCCGAACTAGTGTTGCTCAGGCACCTGAAACTTAGTAGCCGTGCTCATATCTGTCCACCTAACCATCTCACAGGGCCAGTGAATCTCACAGACATTTCCAAGTATTCCGTGACCGACGTAAAATTACAAAACGACTTCGAAATTATGCATTTATGCGGCGAACTGTTGATCAAAATCCATTTAGTTACTGCAGTGTATGACAGCGCTGCCATCGATTACACATCACCAAACACTGTCACGCATCATGTAAGACAACTTTACCCATTCATACACTCCCCTGAACTATGTGAAATGCCGAGAGGGACGGTGAAGTAGACAGTGAAAAATGCGAAGCTTTGATGGTGCCAATTAATTCAGTCCTTGGAAATTTTAGTGCGCTTTCGAATTTGGATGTTAACTTCGACTGATTAGAAGAATAATTTGGTAGGAATGTACTGACTGCTGGAAAACACCGAAGAAGAATTGAGGAAAAACAAAATTTTAGGTGAAATCATGCCTGTACAAGCCAAATCAAATTGCAAACAAACTTCATTTGTGGATAAAGCGCACAACCAACTGGAATCATTGAGCTGTATCTGCAAAAAAAAAGCAAAATTGATCGAATCATTCTCAGCGAAACCGTTATTTTACATAATTTATTTTCGTCGCTGCAAAAAAAAAAGACGCAAAAAAAGACACCTCGATATTTGATCTTCGGTGCACAACTGGTCATTCTGATCCTTTGGCGTTGAGAAGCAAAAAAAAAAAAAAAACCACAATGCACTAGTAGCCCGTCGTTTTATGTGAGTTATCAGTCCGCATCAATAAAATTTGCATGGAGATTTTAGCGCAAACGTCATTTAACAAGTACTAGCCGGCTTTTCAATGAACAGACAAACGGAGCAGCACAGGCTCGACAGCAAAGTTGTTTTGCTTTTGGAAAAGAAAAAATTGTGTGCGCCGGACAGAAAAAATGCCAAAAATCTAATCAAGGTGCCAAAAACTCAGTAAAAAGAATTGAAATGCGAACAGAAAGGCAAAGAGTTTGGTCAGTGGTGAGTAAAAATAAGCTATTTGGAGCGTCGCCAAAGAAATTTTTTTAAAAGCGAAGACCGAGTGGTTTGGTTAAATTTACGACTGGACAGAGAAACTGAACATGATAAACAAGGCAGTATTTCAGGGAAGAATTCAGTATGGGTCTCTCTTTAGTTCGTAGACCGCAGAAAGGATGAAGTAAACTTACAGTACGAAAGTGAATAAGAGCTGTGTTGGAACATTGAGGAACTTGGCACGCCTGGTAAACCACGGATATTTCTCCAGCGCATTCATTATCAGTGGTGTCAGTACTGCAATAAAAGCTCAACAGTTTGATTGCTATTACTTCACAGGCAGTGCGTGCATTGCTACCTAGCTCTTTTGCTCCCATAATTGGATCCAAGGCAACTTCTTGAAGGGGTGGAGGTG